GGGGGGGGGGGTGCCTTACAGGTTCTACGTCTATCAGCTCTACAGAAGCTGCTAAGCTCTCTGTGGGTTTACACACATTAATAGTTTCATAGTTTCTAGCAGATGGGCTGCAGACACGCTGTCAAATGTACATGGAGCTGGTTTATACACGCCGGGCCCCGGACCCAGGCCCCGCCCGATGGACGGGGGCCCGCCGGCCACCGGATGGAGACCCTCCAGTGGCCGGATGGGGCTCGCCGGACGGATGGACGGGGGCCCGCCGGGTCCAAATATCTTCAATCTGCTGCAGGAGAGACGTCTGTGACACCGAGTGAGTCGTGATGTGTGAGTTTAACATGGAAAACTAAAACGGACTCATTCAGGATAAATATTGCTTCTTACATGACCCATAAATCTGCTAATAGTCCCGCCGCGGTCCGGTTCCGGTTCCGGTTCCGGGTCCGGTTAACTCTATAAAATTCATAGAACTCTTTACAAAGGTTTAAAAATACTGTGCTTTTCCGGCCGAATGTTCACAGAACACACAGATGCTGTTTGTCTCCTGGAAAAGCTGCAGCCGCGCGGAGGCAGAACCAGAACCGGACCGGTTCTGGCTCCGGCCGGGCTGGACCGAGCCGGGGGGGAGTGTGGGGGTGGGGTGGGGGGGCTGTTTAAGGCTGATGGAGGATGGAGTCACCAGCGGGTCAGGTCAGCAGAACCGGGCCAATCGGAACCGAGTCGCCCCATCAGAACCGAGCTAATCAGAACCGGGCCGTCTCATCGGAACCGGGCTGCCCCCCCCCCCTCTGATTGGGACCAACAGAACCTCAGGATTCTGGTGGAGGGGTCAGCCGTCCCTCATCAGCCAGAGAGCAGGTCCAGTCAACCGGACCGGGCCTCGGAGGGCAGAACTCTGCCAGAATCTGAGGTTCTGTTTGGAGAAACACTAAATGCCTTCAGCTTCAGACGGGAAATGAAAAGGCAGCTTCAGATTGTGGAAAAACACAAAGTTCCACCAAGAAAAGATTCATTTCCTGATAGAAATCTTACAAAAACCTGATAAAACTAAAACTCTCTCTGAGTTAAAGCCCAAAGAGGAGCAACAAAAATCTATTTTCTGGTTAATTTTTGCTGATTTGTGCTCATTTTCCGACAATTCTTGGATTGTTTGTGTTGTTTTGGTTATTATTTCCTGGAAAAACGATGAATAGTGATGATTTGATGTGTTTTTTGGAATTTTTGAAGTTGTTTTTCTTGTAGTCTGTCGTCATAAATCAGCTTTAACTGAACCAACCTCTTTTTCCTGTTTCCGTCCATTAAGTTAAAAAATTCTAACTGGTTTTGGCCGCTTTCTAATGGACACAAAACAAGAAAATATCCTTATTTATGTTAAAAATCAGAGTTGTTTCTGAGTTAAAGCCCAAACAGAAGCAGCTAAAGGCTAATTTTCCTTCAGAATCAGCTTAAACTTCACCTCTCTGCTCTGATAGCGGCTTCTGTTCTGCTGGTTATTCTGCTGGTTACTGGAGTCTTTTTCTGATCATTTGTGGGGATTTTTGTGTCTGTGTGGTGGTTTTGTGTTTTTTTCTTGGAGTCTTTGTGGTTCCTTTGTGTCTCTGTGTGACGCTTTTATGTCTTTTTGTAGATTTTAGAATAATCAATGTCTTTGTGGTCATTTTGTGTGTTCCTCATGTAATTTTTCACTCTGTGGTCTTTTTGTGACTGTGTGGTACCTTATAGTCTCTCTGTGTTGGTTGTTGTGTCTTTTTCTAGATTTTTGCTCTAATGAATTTATTATCATATTTTTTATTTTTTATTTTTAGGCCGATTAGGAGTTCAGACCCAATAAATAAACAGAATCTGACATCCGAATCAGAAATAATGACGTTTTTTTAACCATTTCTATAATTTATATTCTATATTCTATAAAATATAAA